TGTGTGTGTGTGTGTGTGTGTGTGTGTGTGTGTGTATTTAGTTATTTAGTTATTTATCTATAGATAGACATAAGCACGTCTTGCTGTACTATGCGCTCGCTCGTCGTACCTGGGTTGGCCTCGCGCCAAGCCTGGATGATCGCGGACGAGCCGCGTAGATTTGTGTAGTCCGGCGTGTAGCGGCCGTTGACGATGAGCATGCGAATTCTCACCGGCTCGCACGGACACACGTCGAGCCCGGCTGCCGTCAGCGCCGCCGCCGCATCGCGCGTGATCTCCGTGTGCCGGAATCGCCCGTCGAGGAGGTTGGCATTCACCGTCACGTAGTACTGAACCTGGAGGAGAGAGAACGCAGGGTTTACGGTTAGCATTCGAAGCGAATAAACCCACCACTGGTCCGCAAACGCTGATCTGCAACTGATCTGCCACTGCACTGATCTGCCACTGGTCTGCAACTGATCTGCAACTGATCTGCAACTGATCTACCACTGATCTGCCACTGATCTGCCACTGATCTGCAACTGATCTGCCACTGATCCGCAAACGCTCACTTGTTAAGGGTCGGAATGCCGCGAAAAGTTGCTGCCAGGCCACGACGGTTGAACATGCCTATGTTCTGGAGATCCATAAAACTTCTCTATAAACACGCAGCTTATGAAGCTTATTGACATCTTCAGTTGTCAGTCAGACCTTCACCAAATCTTAACTCATGCGAGTTTTGCAAATCGAATGGATGCTGGTAGCTATAACTACCATACATTCACATGGTTTACACAGTCGAACGAAATTTTGCTAGGCACACGTATACATTCAGAAATAACATATCAAAAACAGTGAACGTATTTTGGGCATAAGTAGGCATAAGTAGGCATAAGAACGTCACGAAGAAAAAATAGGTAACGTCAGTACATCTATTATTTCGCTGCATTTCTATTCAACAGCCAGCCTGCCATTTCTCGAGCATCGCGGAATACAAGCACACACGCACAGTACATGCACTACGTCACATCCCTGCCACTCAATCACAGAAAACTCAGTTCCTCAAACATAGTGCATCACCAACCTTCGTGATCGGCTCCTTGTCGCTCTGAGTCACGTAGCGGTCGAGCGACAGCACGGACGCGTCGACGGTCTCGCTCGGCAGTACCCCGTCGTTGAGCGCGCGGGCGATGCGCGGGATGTCGCCGTTGCCGTAGTTTCCGTACACGTAGATGGTGAACGCGCGGTCGGTGTCGTAGAGCGAGCTGTCGGCGTCCGGGATGATACGGTATCGCTGGCCATCGGCCAGTATCTGCTGCTCGAACACGGAGCCGGTCGGCGGGTCGGTCGGCAGCAGCTCCTGCCCGACAGTGACTTTGAAGAAGAGCACCGTGAAGGTCGTCCTGCAGGCAGAGAAAAAGAGAGTTAGAGACGGCTGCAGACGTGAAGCCGAGAGAGAAAGAGAGAGAGAGAGAGAGAAAGAGAGAGTGAGAGATAGAGTTAGAGAGAGAGAGAGAGAGTGAGAGTTAGAGAGAGCCGAGAAGAGATGAGAGAGAGAGACAGCGTATGAGAGGCGAGAGAGAGAGAGGAGAGAGGAGAGAGAGAGAGAGAAAGAGAGAGAGAGAAGAGAGAGAGAGGAGAGAGAGAGTGAGAGAGAGAGACGAGAGTAGAGAGAGAGAGAGCAGAGAGAGAGAGAGGAGCAAGAACGAGAGAGAGAGAGATGAGCGAAGAGCGAGAGAGAGAGAGAAGAGAGAGAGAGAGAGAGAGAGATGAGAGAAGAGAGAGAGACGAGAGGAGAGAGAGAGAGAGAGAGAGGAGAGAGAGAGAGGAGAAGAGAGAGAGAGAAGCGAGAGAGAGAGACGAGAAGAGGAGAGAGAGAGAGAGAAGAGGAGAGTAGGAGCGAGAGAGAGAGAGTAGAGAGGAGAGAGCGACGGAGAGAGAGAGAGAGGAGAGAGAGAGAGAGAGAGAGAGAGAGAGAGAGCAGAGAGAGAGAGAGAGTTTAGAGAGAACGCCAGAGAAAGAAGAGAGAAAGAAAGGAGAGACAGCGAGAAAAGAGAGAGAGAGCGAAGGAGAGACAGAGAGAAAGAGAGAAAGAGAGAGAGAGAGAGAGAGAGGAGCAGAGAGAGAGAGAGAGAGAGAGAGAGAGAGAGAGAGAGAGAGAGAGAGAGAGAGTTACAGATGGCTGCAGCTGAGAAGCTGTGTGTGATCCGTAAATCTTGAGAGCAAATTCACCAAACTTTGTGATAATATTAAGAATAATATTACAGTAAATTACAACATGATTAACCTATAATAATTTGTTTTTATGAAATTATACAATTTTTAATAATGCCACCTGTGTGGAGAATGTGCAACGTGATACTAAAATAATTATAATTGATAAGACATGACATTACAAGAACATTGTGACATGAAAGGGTCATTGATCTGTGGCTAATAAGAGTGCCAGCCAGATTACCCCACGTCATCTTTAATCTTGCAAATCGGGCATTGGGGAAGAATCTGCCACTTACCCAAGTTTGGTCGTAAAAACATGTGGGTTTTCGACTTCAACGCTTAACTTGCTGATGCCTGTGGATGAGACAACGACAACATTTCTTTGCAAGGTATTTAAACATTGGGGAAAACGTGCGTGAACCACCAGACAGAACGATTCCCTCCCACTTTGCACTGTTAAATGTCGAATAGGGAAAAGAGCAAGCGTGAAATGATCATTCTTGAGTTACACTAACTTGCGCATTCACTGCAACTTACTGCCGGTGAAGAAGATGCTGTTGGCATTGGGACCTCCGCACTGCTCTCTCTGGTCCGCCGTGCACGCTCTGTTGCAGTTGTTGCTTTCTCCATAACCCCCATAAGTGTCGCCACAGCGGCACTCCCCGCCGTTCTGCACGCCCGCGTAGGTGAAGTTGCCGTCGAAGCAGGCTTTTATACACTGAGCCGGAGTCCGATTTCTGTTGCCCATCACCACCGGAAGATCTCTGCGGTCATTGCGGTCCGTGAAACAACCACGGAAGCTCGAGCCAACACCATCTGCGAAGAGGAATCGGTGGTGAGAAACTAGCCAACATCAATGTAAACAATATATATAACTTTACCAACGGATTTAGTTAGTCCTTTCTCCATATAAACACTTATTTGATTTCCAAAGTAAAATGGCCACGTTGGCACATATATTAACATGTTTAGCAAGCTACAAGCTATGAACGAACAATATCACTTTATTTCTGATGCTTATCCCAGTTCTGAATCTATATCAGAAGAAGCCAATTAACTCAGCAAGACAGCTACAAAGCTGAGGCAATCCACAGGAAAGAATAGCATTGGTCAACGCTTTACCTTGCAGTTTTTCAGACCTGCTTTCTAACACAGACTTATTAGAACAATCCTTTCCCCATAAACACTGTTGACTTTTTAACTTCATATCTGACAGGCTAGCCTAACGTTAATGTTTTGCTCGATTCATTTTTAATTAAACTGTTATCTTACCTGGGTATTGAATTATGTAGCCCTTCTTAATAACCTCAATCCACTTGTCGACCGGCATCTCTTCCAGCGTGGCTCTACCAAGCACCGGTACAAACGGTGCTGACGTCATCTCCTCACAAGCGCAAGCGTGGAAACCCGCACGGTCCAGATACTGTGAGTTCAGTTCCTCGACACCAGGTGGCCACACGCTTTGCAGGTGCGAGTCAACGCCGTTGATGTTGGCATCGTACATGTAGCGAGTTACAAAGTCACTGCAAATATGTAAAACGGGTTTATAGTGTGAATAAACTAGCAAGTAAGAGTCCATATAATGTAAAGTACTATAATGCTGGGTGATTTTAACATGTTTTTGTTGGACGGTCGTCAAATACTAGACCATGTAGCACCTCGTGCATCTACTGCTGAGATAGGTTTGTTCTTTCACAGTTAAGGAAAAAGGAAAACATCAAAATCACAATTAAAAGCATACACTCTCATTTTGTAGCAACCAGTTGCATTTGAGATCTTGCGAAACAAGTCTCACCTTCCAGGGCTCAGGATACCAGGCACTGCATCGTAGAATTCAATATTGGCCGATGCTTTACCATCCAGAACATCTAAATGAAATATAACGCAATATTCGCACAAGACCAAATATTGCAGTGTTATAAAGATTTTAAAGGTTTATCATGCTAACTATTTTCTGAGACATGGACCTGTAATATTAATTGCAACAAATACAATTGTGCATATTAATTAGCAATCATAACATATTGGACCTACGTTTTTTATTCATATGTCTCTGTTTATTCCATAATTTAACCTGCTTATAACCACAGAACAATGTAGCCATACAATTTTCTCTTGATCATTAAAAATTATCACAAACTTATTTCAAAACATGCAAAATGAAGTTCATTGCAATGGGATTACCACGGAGAAGTTCCCTAATAGACATTATTATTAGGTTATTAATAGACATACCGTCGCGCCACGCGTTTTCCATGGAGGTCTCCAGGTTGCGTGTGGTTGCCAGAGCATCCTTGCTATCCACATTCAGCATGTGCAGCTTGCTCACCTCACACTCGCTCACACCGTCGCACAATGTCATGCCTGGAAAGTACAGAATTAACCATAAACTACGCACTGTTGTTATTGTACATAAAACGCGCAAATCCAATAAGTAGATACATGCTTGATTTATTAAGTGCATATATTTTAATGAGCCTTTAGGAAAATTTCATCAAGCTAATTCCACACACATGCTATTTAACTCAATCCAGCTTGCTCTTCTTAGGGCCTAAATATAGTCTTATGCAATTCATATAGTATGCTAGAAACCCTCCTTTTTAATGGTATACTTAATTACCATTGCGTCCGAGAATATCCTTCAGAGATGTAGGCTCCAGATATCTGTTTGGATCATTTTCATCTACCGTCAGTATATATGGTATCATTGCCACGTTCTCACTGAAATACACAATAACAGTTACACAGGGTGCAAAATTAACAGGAGTCCGGAGTCAACTACTCCCTGGTTTACTGTCGGACTCCCCGATTTGACATATGCAGGAGTCCGTGCGACTCCCTGAAAATTCTGCTATACTAACTAGTTTGTTCCAGAGCACGGCCTCGTGGAATTACCGTATTTTTTCAGCTAATGTCTAAAGAAAATTTGGTAGACGCGCAACCACATAAATCTTCAAAATAAGCACATGCGTTATTGTAAAATATCTTTAATTTTGAACCTCAGACTGCGGACTCCCTCATTTTGCTGCGGACTCCCTCATTTTGCTGCGGACTCCCTCTTTTTGAGGGTAGGGAGTCCGGGCCGTTGGACTCCTGTGTTCAAAAGTTAATTTCTACCCCTGGTTACATTTAAAAATATATATCTGATTATATATTCTGTTCAACAGATGTAAGGCAACAACGGGGTAAGAAAAAGGCAGATCACTTACTATTTATTTGTCAAGTAGTTGTACATTGGCTCCAATAGATTCACAGATGCTATAAAAGAACAAAATTGTTAAAAGAATATATGTCACAGTTTTCCCTGTTCCATATGTTCCAGATCATAACCAACTTTTTTCTCATATCAACATGCATATTTCAACACAAGTCAATTTCTGAAACGTCCAGAAAACCCTCATCCAAGGTGCTATAGGAGCTGCAACCACTATACCCTTCTCAGGTGCTATAGGGCAACGCCTACCACTATCTCCTTCTCAGGTGCTATAGGGGCTGTCACTATCTCCTTCCGAGGTGCTATAGGTGCTGTCACTATCCCTTTCTCATGTACTATAAGGGGACGCCCACCACTCGATGCACTAGGCAGGCACCTGCATCTACGCGTCGCACTCACCAGTTCGCGGCAGCTCCCAGGCGATGGTGAGCGACGAACGGAGGGCGTTGAGGTTGGCGAGCGTCAGGTTAGCCATGTTCTTGATGAGCAGCTCACGCTGGCGCAGATGCTGGCAGTCGAAGCAGGCCGGCATGCGCGCGCGGTTAAGCGAGTCCTGCAGACGCCCGGCCGATGGCGGCAGCGTTTCGCGCGAGTCCGCCATCGAGCCGTTCACATGCAGGAAGTACACAACTCGCGTCTGTACCGGTGCGAGGCTCCTGTGTGAGAACGAAGTAAGCAATGTATATACACACATACGGCTTGTATTGCATACATGCCTGCGAGTAAGTAATATCTGTAATGACATATGCATCGTACACGAGATGTACAGATTGTATATACACACATACAGATTGTACATGGGACACATATACAAGGGGACATGATGGAACATACAATAAAAATACAATAAATACGATGACAATACAATGAATACAATGACATACAATATCATACAATCACAATACAATTTAATGAATACAATGACATACAATGACATACATAAGATGACATACAATGGGACATATAAGTAATACCCACAGCGGTATGAAGACTCTTGATATGGCAACCTGCCCCAAGTATATATTTGTAATGAATTATGACGACAGGACTTGGAATTCGTAGCGCACGTTCGATTTCATGGAATATTTTCAAAATGACAAGTTTATGTCAGACAGGTTATTTTTTTAGTCCACCCCAGAAAACGGTTTTTATCTTGGGGATTTTCCATAGGAATGCATGTTCAATTATATAGTTTTTTTCTGGAACGAATTATTTATGTAACACACGTTGTTACTATATAACTAACTGTGCATGCTAACCGGAAAATAAGCAGTTCATACAGCAGCTACTACAGTTTACTCAGAAGACAGATGCAAACGATCTGTGAATGTCTAACTGCTCACCATAGCTGGATAATTACTGGTGTACTTTAGCTGCCACTTGGTATTTACAATATATCAGACAGGTTGACTTTTAAAAACTGGTATAATCAGCCGACAGACTTCTAGCTATATGTATATATACTCGAGTGTAATTATGGTCTTAACCCTTTCAAAAGAGGTAACCTAGTTAAAATGAAAGGCGTGCTACATTCTGTATTATTCTTTAGTGTTCATAGTGAATAGAAATAGATGTTTACTCTGCGTTTCCGTAGTATGATTCATATCTCCTTATATCGACCTCAATCTGGCTGTTAGGGTTGAAGTAAGCTGAAAGTAAAACAACAATCATGTAATACACAAATGCTTGCATACATAATGATAATATGCTACATATACAACACCAACAATCTCTGTCTAATACATTTAATAATAACACGTCTCTGCTAATGTTTTCTTGTAATCTTATAATTACTACCATCAGGATGCATGACAGGTTTTGGTATTACATATGACCTCACTAAACAGTAAATACACGAGGACAATGCCATTCATTGTATATACATGCAGCTTTTATAAAAATGTTTATGTGGACAAGTTGTCAGAACATTAACATTCCAATCCATTGTTTTGTTGAATCTATATTTAGCATCCCTAACATTCATTTTCTTATTTTCCTAATTTTATCTATCTCTAAATTAATTAATGAAATAGTTTTAAAACATTTCATTGCTACAGTAATATTGCAGTCAAACTCAGGTACACCTTACATTAATTGGCATAAACACAAAAAAATGTTCCTGAAAATCGGTAATGTGAACTACTCTACCCACTCTCGGGGTTTGCATGCATTACCTGACCATGTTGACACAATTGCATTCTCCAGATCATCTCTCCTATTAAACGTCGTCTCAGGAGTACCAATGACATATAGATCAAAGCCCTGTTTATTCCTCAACAGATTTCGTGTATTGGCCACTCTAAAACAAGAATAAGTAGATGAGTATACAACATATGAATGCATGCGTCCTGGACAGTTGACTGGCTAGAATTTTGGTCAGAGGATAACTTTTGATTGATATAAATTTAAATGTATTGATGACCTTTAATTTTTACAGCATTTTGTTGTATTATGTTACATATATTTGCTGCCAAATACAAAAAATTGTAATGAGTTTGTACCTGCAATACATATTCCTACCATGAATATCATTACATATAACCACATATATATTATTATATACCTCAACATTTGTAATCGGACATTATCAGTATAGGATCTACGTATAGACACCAGCATAGAGTCCAGTACGGGAAAGGATCTGTCCTAAACGGGCTATACTGACTATAAACACTTACTTATATTTGGGCGTGAGATAAGACTGGAGGGTGGGAGCAGGCTGGTAGTCAGAGTTGGTCAATCGATCATTGTTATCGGTGACTGCATAATGCACCATTGTTACTGGCAACCTGCAAACAATGTAAAAGAAATTAAAATTAAAGAGATGTACTTCAGAAATACCATTCACAATGTCTAAAGTGCATATTCACGTTTAATAGAATATGACTAGACATAAAAAGTTTAAAATTTTAAACTAAACACCTGCCCATGGTTTAATCATTAATTTATCCAGAAATTCATTTTCTTATATTTTATTTAGAACTTTTTTATAATTCAGTTAATAATTGCATATATATGTTCAATGTGCCAAATATTCTCACCCAAAGTCTCCAATTCCTGGCTCAACGTTGATCATTTTTACGTTAAACTGGGCATCTGGAAAAAATAGCATTTCATAGTATAAATTTTAATGCACTACATAAATGTGTATGAAATCATATAACTTGTCACCACATTATATCCTAACCTTCTCTAAACTTGCACAAGCTTCAAATCAGAATCTGACTGCGACACAGCTATTATCAATTAATGCTTCAATCCAATACATACATCCCACCTGGGGTACATAATACTCAGGTCTGCTCCCTATATGAACTCCCGATCTCACTAATACACTTCGCATGAAAAATCACTGGTTGATCAACCAGCAGTGACACGATGAAGAGTAACGATCTATAGCAGGGGTTTTTAACCTGTGGTCCAGAAACCCCTTTGGGATCCGTCGATGGGCTTCTGGGGGTTTGCGAACCCCACTGTATGCAAAATGTTGTGTTTATGTGCTTATGTGCATTTTTCTGGGAAGGGTTCCGTAGCTTTCACCAGATTCTCAAAAGGGTCTATGACTCAAAAAAGGTTAAGAACCACTATAGTCTGACATTCACGCGACCCTCTCGTGTACCTGGGTACGTGTCGCTCCACGCCCTCCTCAGCACACGCAGCATCTCGTTATCGTCGACGTTCACGTAACCGAGGAGGTTGACCTGGTACAGGTAGCTGTACGGTATGAACCCTCCTTCGTCGGCAACCACGCGGTATGGGATGTTGCTGAGCGGCCGCTGTACGCGCGACACCTCGCGGATGAACTCGGAGACAAGCGGCTGCATGTTGGCGAAGTTCTTGGAAGGCCACGTCGTGTCGCCGATGTTGAGGAAGTAGATGAGCTGAGTGAACGTGTCTCTGTGGACGACGGCAGACGACATTTAGACGCAAGGGTGAACGAAATTATTTTGGGATGAATGAAACTTACCAAAAACACAAGTAAATTTAGTCGCGGGTAAATGAAATTTTGTGATAAAGACTCGAGGGTGAATGACATTGAAATAGTTTCTAAGAAGCACTGCGTGACTAAACATTCTACTCGTGCTGAGGGCACACAATCAGGGATATTTGGATGAGTGAAAAATATCTGCAAAAACACGCTGAATTAAAGTCACCACCCTAAATTGTGCCTGCTAATTTCGTGGAAGTTTAAAAAGTTACGTTTCTCACCCGTTCATGTTGACGTATTCCAGTTCTGCGGGAGACAGATCGACAGTCACATCCCTCCTGCCCAGTTTGCGCACCCAAACGCGCTGCAGCGCATCCTGAAGGCGAGAGACGTCGACCTCGTACACTTTGCCCTCGACGAAGAGCGGGAAGTGGTAGACGTAGCGTCTGTGCGTCGGGCCCGCGTACAGAGGAGCATACCCTAAAACAAAATAACATACCTCACGTTGTATCAAGCTTATTATATATGCAACACACATCATCACGGTATATGCATCATACATGTTATAACAGAAAGTATTTCTGAATCGCTATGTAAGCCATGTGTACAATTAGGTACATTTACGCAGACAGGAGTCTTCACGAAAAACTTTTTGAGCCACTTCGGGCAAGTATTCTGTTAAAATGTACATGCCCAAATGACATTCTAGTTGCCCACATATTTTGCAAGAATTTTTTTGGTTTATCGAGTAAAGAAGTGTACACAAGACAAGACAACATCTAGAAGCAATTTGTTACAGGTGTTAACATTTCGTGATTTTAAATTTAAAACCTTTAGTTAATGGCCAGTTGTATTATATTTAATGCGTTCTTAAAGCAGGAGCCCGTTGGACACGTGAGCTTGCAATGTTTACATGCCCACCGAGATTTCTACACGTCTCATGATCAGGCATCGGATGTCCGGCTAAATCCGAAGACCGAGACAGAGTAGCGTGACACGACCTTGACTATGCCTCACCGTAGTCACGAAGCTCGTTGGTGTATTGCGTAAGTGACGGTTCTCTGTAGCTGGTGCTGCCTGGTGTCAGCAGACGGCCACTCACGTATACAAAGTACATCAGTTGCTCCACCTGCTCCCTAAACCCCACGCAGAAATTGCATCAATCAAATGTCGAGCAAATGCAGTTGTCATTATTTATGTGTTGTTGTGTTTTTCATAAATTTTCATTGCTGTTTATTAAGCATATACTTATATAATATACAAAACGCAAAGAAAACTAAACGAAGTAATTAAACGTGATATAATTCAAATAGAATGTTTTTAAACATACCCGCTGTCACCAAGATATGGTTCCACCCTTCTCAGATCCACGGTCACAGCTGATTCTCTCAAACCTATGGACCAGGATTGACCATACAAAATATACCAATTCTTTTTTAACATATTTAAGTACACATAAGATGATTAAATGGGAAACTGATGGTACTGCACAACGAGAAGAACTTTTACTGTTAAAATATATTCATTCTGTTTTAAGACACTGTACATTAAAAGTTCTGCATTCCCAAAGAAATACATGAGATTCAAATAATGGAATATATATAAAGCATGTAATTAATCCACACACCAGGATTTGCTCTTTGCCAGGCGTTCGCCAATGCTGATTCAGCCAGTGTTCTGTTAATTGCATAAGCCCACGGCCACTGTATGTATACTGCATATGCATTGTGAGCACTGAAACAAAAGCAACCACATAACATTTTCAATTAAGCGGCATCAAAAATCTGCCTTACTCCAAGATCACGGGTAAGGTTTGGCTAAAAAATCAAAATTTGTCAATATAGAATTAGGCAATTTGAGATTTAAAAAAAGCCTGCATGATAACATGATCTTAAATTGATTGCTACACAACTTACAAGGGTTGGTGTCAGGCACCTGCGTATTAGTAATAGTGGATTTACAAGGATTGGAAAGTTACCTAATCGGTGGCGCTGATGAGTAGTTGTTTGTAAAGACGGCATTCAGTCGTTGTCTATTGGGACGCGTGAGAGACCCAGCATCGTTGATAGTTTGTAGCTTGTACACAACTGTTATCACATCATTCCTGCAATTGGAAAATAGAAGTTAGAACCCTGGTACAGTTAAAAGATCTATTTAGAATTCAGTCTGTGTTATGAATTTCTTGGTTCTATCTGCATGATATCATGTTTACAGTAGAGCAGGTCATCCAACCATATAGTATAATAGGCGCATTCACACACAAGAAAAACCGCGCTGCTCAGCTCACTAATATCGGAGCTAATAGTGAGCTGATTGTGTCGTTGTTCACACAGGCGAATATCTCGCTAATCGTCGCGGTGCAAATATCACGCCGCGGTGCAAATAAGTGAGCTGATTCCAAATTAGCCCAGTCGGAAGTGGTCTTAGGAGCGGGCTTTTTGGAGCGCGATTTAGTGAGCTAATTGCGTTCACACTTGTAAAAAGCTCAGTTTTTCGAGCGAGCTACAAAAACCGGGTTTTGCAGCCCACTAATTCGCGCCAGTGTGAACGCACCTAATATATACTTAGGATGTACCTAGGCATGCCGCATAGGACTACACTTGTCACAAAATCATGTTCGATGTAATACAATGTATTTTTGTAAATACTACTACACTTTTTAAAGTACTTAGATACTAGTAGCACAAACACATACTGTCAGCATATAGTGTTTTGTGGTGTTCGTTTAACAGTACAGAACACAGATCTATGCATATAGATAGACAATAAAATTGATTCAAAAGATACAAACTATCACAAAAAATGGCGGTTACACGGTCTTCCACGCAGACGATAACTAACAGTGCCATCTGGTGGTCGGTGAAGCAAATAAATACGGTGGTACAATAGCACACATGGCCAGTTACCTAACACACGGCGCATATAAAAAACATTTGTAATAACTAATAACCTAACAACCATCTAAATATTCCGTTGTCTTCATCCAGCCAGATGCTATTTTTAACACTGTTTTTGTCACATTCTGTGTGTATCGATCACTCTATAGGTACGTATGCTTGCATGTATTAACATTGGTACATGCATATACATAATTACTACATTATGGGTTCCTGATCACATAACAACAGTTTGTGCCGAAAACGAAATCAACCTACCTGTTTATATTTGTATTATATAACACACTATCAGGGCTGTACAAACATCCATTGTTTTTATTTACTTCTGATATTATACGTACATATGCAAATAATGTTATATATTATCAAGAACAAGACAGTCCTATCTCTCAAGTAACCTCTATTATTTTGCTTCTTATATTATCCTAGGTCAGACTGGTTTTTTTGCCACATCACTCCGTGTTCCTAGTGGATCTACGCAGTCACGCGCTAACAGCTGAACGGTGGTTGAATTCTAAAGCTACCCCTAAGACTACAGTACGGCATACCCAGAGCAGGAATGTGTCTGCGCTCGCACATACAGGTGAGAACGAGTCGACAGCTTTCTGCATGGACTGTCAGCTGTACGCGCTGGCGTTTATAATAACAGACGCACAAAAAATCTATGACATTCCACCCACGGTGTGCCTATGAACTCAGACCGACTGACTCTAGTGGTCAAGGTTACCAGGGTAACAAACTGCATGACCATCCCGAACGTATACGTTATTAGTTATAACCCGATGGACTGACTCATTCAGATCGAATAGCGTGTTCATCTGCTTCCTCTAGTAAATACTGACTAGTAAATAGTGACTAGTCAGTAAATACTGGCAAGCCTGTTCGCGTCATAATTTAGGCACCTCGCCACCGCCCAAGGTCGCCATCTGCATAATTACACATTATAGTCATGCCCTACATAAATTATGTGAACAGCTTCGTGAAAAATGAACCACATATATATATATATATATATATATATATATATATAAAGAGTCTATAATACGTATCCCCAACACGAAGCTTCGGAGTAACACAAAGACGTAGGAGAAATGGCTGGGAGCGGTGTTGGGTGTGGTTGTCACACACCTTAGATCTTCACGCGTGATTACAAGTCTCGCGCGGCAAGAAGAGCTCACCAGCAGAGTGACAAAGAAATACCCTGAAGCAGCAAGGAACGCCAGTGCACATAACATATCGTTTGTTACAAACGCTAGAAACTACGTTTTTGTCGGAATGACAAGCGTACCAACAGCGGCAGCAGACACTATATATAGGCGATAGATGTCATATAGATTAAGCCTCATCTTACATATACGTACACTTGCACCGTACTACGCCTACACCGTGCGTGTGATAGAAATGCTAAAATATAACTCGTTTGATCTGACACGCATCTAAAACTCGACAATTTAAAAATTTAATTTAAGAATTTAAGAATAATTTAAGAATTTAAGAATTGCGAAGAATTTAAGAATTTAAGAATTGCGAAGAATTTAAGAATTTAAGAATTGCGAAGAATTTAATAATTGCGAAGAAGAGGTTGGGTAGGCTGGGCTTTGCTGAAAATCTGTTGGCAACAGAATGTCTCTTCAGTGATTCTTGAGCGTCTCTCCATAATGACTCTTTTGATATCGTATCGACTTCAGTACAACCTCGAACCCAACCTCCATTGTATCATACAAGCAACTGTCACATTAGCCCGCTCTGACCTTTTTCGTGATGGCACTATAACCTACGTTCATTTATTCAAGGTCGACGATGATATGGATAGTCTACGGGACGTGCCGTGGACACGGGCAATGTTATCGCTTATAGTTATATCGCTATTATATATACATATGTGTGTATATATATACCTATATATATATATATATATGCCTGGCAGATAGCCTGTAATCAGTGCAATCATTGTAACGCACCAGTAACCATCACGAGTGGTTAGAAACCCGCGTAAGTGGCTGCAGCGCTCTGGGTGACCGTGTTAAAATGAGGGTGAGGCACGCAAATGCGCGCGATCAACAATAGACTGTATTCACGCCCTTGCACCGCCCGCAGTGTCACAGAATCAGTTTGCAATACCTGCGCGGAGCAACCTGTAACACTACATTTCTTACGGCAGGACGAGCAATCTGTGCGTGCGTGCATGCGTTTGCGTGTGTGCGGTGTGTGCGCACGCGTGTGCGTGTGTACGTATGTGCGTGTGTGCGTGTGTGCGTGTGTGTGTGTGTGTGTGTGTGTGTGTGTGTGTGTGTGAGTGTGTGTGCGCGTACGTGCATGTGTGTGCGCGTACGTACGTGTGTGCACGTGTGCGTGTACACACGCGCGCGCGTGTGTGTGCTCCATTATAATGGCAAAATACTAAAAGAACAGACTCCTGAAATGACCGACGAACACGCGCGCTACGTGCATATACGTACGTGCACATGAACACGCAGGAATCCCCCTACACGGATGCTAATTGCAGTTTGAGGTGAATTCCCGAATGTTCGCCTAAGGGATGCATGCACCCATGATGGGACATCACGCACGCTAAATATTACACTCGATCCCAAACCCATTAATCATTTAATTCCACAAAAAGGTCACATCTCAACGATCGATGAACGTGGAACTGGTAGCGCAGGTTTGAAGAGTTACCCTTTTGGCCATTGTTGACACGGATCACTTTCACTGACTCTACGCACGCGATTTGCAGTAATGCAGGTCACGGGAGAGAGACATTAACGGCTTTGGCAGACGATGCATCAATAATGCATCAACAATATTCAATTCATCTAATAGTGGTGGTCGGTGAAGATAGCCAGCATATAATCTATCGTACGCATTGCATGAGAAGTATAGAGCCATCATTGACTACATGCCAGGAGATTATTCTTCCATAGCAGGCTCAAATGAAAACGGTGCCGCATGCTGTAACACGGTATCCCATCTCTGGTTTATCATAACTGGTTCTTCATCTCTGGTTATATTTCCGTCACAATAAACTCACTTCCGACGTAGGCCCCTACATTGAGGGATGGGGAAGGGGGGGGGGTAGTTTCACTTTAGAAGTATAGTTCATGTTCAATTGAGATCTATGCTAGATTCTAGCTCAGAATTAATCGCATGATGTGAGCTCATGATTGATCAGTGGGTGATGGCAGGATGATCCTATAAAATACACAAGTAGGGGCGTGTTCATTCTAGTTCTCCTTTCTAGCGTTATTAACACGTGTTTTACAAAGAAATCTCTACGCACAGCGTTTCACTGAATATGGATGAAGCGAATGTATCACGTCTCGATTTGGGTTTATGTTTATTACCTCCGCGCAACGGAGGTCATGTAATCGGTCTCGTGTGTGTGTTCGTGTGTGTGTGTGTAGCGTTGGCGCGATCGATTCAGCAGCAGCTCGCCTTAGGGCGTCCAGTCAGCAGCTCGCCTTAGGGCGTCCAGTCAGCAGCTCGCCTTAGGGCGTCCAGTCAGCAGCTCGCCTTAGGGCGTCCAGTCAGCAGCCGACAGCAGCCAGCCAGCTGTTATACACATACATGTTACACGCTCGCGGAGGTATGCACTCTCCGTGAGTGCCCTCTGTCTAGTTATACATGTTACCAGGAGCGTATAATGACAAATATTTGTCATTATACGCTCCTGATGTTACATGCATGTTTGTACGTCACATACATGCACGCATACACGCACGCGAACACACACACACACATGCACGCATACACGCACGCGAACACACACACACACATGCACGCATACACGCACGCGAACGCGAACACACGTATACTACCCACTCCTAATTTCAATACGGTGGAACTGCAATCTATATGCTCTTCTCTCTTATGCTGCCTCTCTGTCTCTGTCTCTCTGTCTCTCTGTGTCTGTCTCTGTCTCTGTCTCTGTCTCTGCGTTCTGTCTGTGTCTGTGTCTGTGTCTGTGTTGTGTCTCTGTCTCTGTCTCTCTCTCTCTGCTCTCTCTCCTCTCTCTCTCTCTGTCTGTCTGTCTGGTCTGTCTGTCTCTTCTCTCTCTTCTCTCTCTCTCTCTCTCTCTCTTTCTGCTC